GGGTGGGGGGGAGGGTGTGCATTTGGCATTTTGCATTTGGCATTTTGCGTTTGGCATTTTGCGTTTGGCACTTGGGATTCCCCGTTTTGCTGCCAGCTTTGCACACAGCGGTGGCTCCGCGGGGTCCCCAAGCGCCGGGGCTCCACTTTGAGTACAAAGTGCCGAGGAGATTTATACATTTAGCAAAAATCCTGGGCGGGGAGGGGGGCTCTGGGACCCCCCACGCTCTAAAATTACCATTTTAGGGCAGCAGCTGCCGCAGGACCGGCTGCCACCGGAGCTCTCGGTGTGTCCCAGCTCCGCGGGTTGCTGATGGAGCGGCAACGCTGAGCCAAGAGGGAACAAACTTCCCCTCATCCCACAAATAAACATTGGGGGGAGGAGGGAAGGCCCCCGAGGTGGTCTGGGATTGTCCCACTGGGACTGAACTCTCACAGTTCCAGCTCTGGGGGAAAGAACCGAAGAAGCCGAGCGGGATGTCTGAAGAGCCCCCAATCCCCCGGGACACGCAGGGGGGGCTGGGCTGGGGCTGTAGGGGGGGATTAAGCACGGGATGGGCTGTGGGAAGGGGCAGGTTTAACACCCCAGTGCAGGCATGGAGGTTGGTGGGGGGGCACAGAGCCCCCGGGACCCCCCACCGGCTCAGTGGGGCCCTTCTACCAGCAAAGAGGCGCGAAGGAGGGGCTGTGGGGGGAATTCAGCGGCTGAAGTAGCGGGGGAGATCTCACAGGAGCTCCAAAATGAGGCAGAGTGGTGCAGGGGGGAGAGGGCTCGGTAAATGGGGGTGCACGTTAGGGAACCCCGGGGGTGAGGGCACGAAACCAGACACCCAGAGCTGCAGCATCAGCCGGGAGAGCAAACCAGGCTGGAGATAAGGAGTGATCCGGTATCGCAGTGCCGGGACAGCCGGCATGCGGGGAGAGAGGTATGAAAGGCAGGAGCTGCTGAAAGTGGTGGCAGAACAGCGAGGGTGCCCAGTTCCAGGTCAAATCCCAAACTGGAACGAAGAAGGGCCGGAACCCCGCAGTCCCCAGCGCAGACACAGCTCCAGCCTTTCCGCTAATTAGCAGCATTAACGGGGAAACACCGGCGCTGCTAATGAGCCCCCGGGGATCGCAGCGAGGCTCCCCGGGCCCCTCCCGCCCTGGCCGGAGCCCCGTTAATGAGCAGGACCGCTAATGAGCGGTTCTATTAATGACTATTAACACTCCCAGCTATCTGTGTCCTAATTGGAGCACGGCACAAGTATCCATTTCCAGCCGCCGCACACCAATCCGTTTCCAGTCTCTTCCCTTTCCAAAAGCTGCGGGTTGAGTGTCCCTGCCACCCCCTCGCTGTCCTGAAGCTGGGGTGCCTCGCTCTCGGCGCCACCCTGGGGGTCCCTTGGTCCCGGCGCCGGGGACGGAGGTCCCCAGGCTGGGTTTGTGGTGGTGGGTGGGCGGCCAGGGCTGGGCTGATAAGGAATCCGTGGGGCTGATAAGGAGCCCCGCTATCTGCAGCGGGGGGAGGGCAGGAGCCGCTCTCCCTGCGGGGCGGGGGCTGCCCTGGGCACCAACGAGGGGTTCCAGGACCCTCGTTTGGCATTCTCAGGAATGAACCCCAGCGGCTCCATTGGGAACAAGCCAGGCTCACGGCGTCTCTCCCCACTGGCTCCGCAGGGAGATTGGAGCCCCCACGGGGCGGGATGAGGAGCCAGAGCTCACCCCCATCGCCCCATCCCGAGCAGGAAGGGCAGCGCTTGGCCCTGCACGAGGAGCCATCCGGGAGCTTCCTCCGAATCCACAGAGTTACTCACATCCGACCGAAGAAGTGACAGCCCGAGGGCACAGCTCCTGTCCCTCTGTGCCCCCTTCCCTTCCACGGGCTGCGCTGCGGGCACGGCGCTCCTCCTGTTGGCAGCTCCCCCCGCGGTGTTCCCCATCCCAGGGACAGCACCCTGACCCCTCTTCCCTCTGCTCCCGCACCCCAACCCTGCCTGTCGGCCCCTCAAGGCTGAACACGGGTGGATGCTGCGAGCCACGGGTTTATTGGGGGGCATGGGGTGGCAAGGACAGGGAGGTGCTGCGGGAGGGGCACCCTGGAGACAAGGACAGGGCTCGTATGCACACTGGGGACACTGGGATGTACCCGGGGTGGGCACTGGGGACAGTCAGATGCTGATGGGGCTCACAGGGGGAGCACTGGGGACTGGGGGGCAATAGGAGCCCGACGAGGGTCTCGGCTGCCCCACAGCGTGGTGGACAGGCAGGAGCTGCCCCATGGCCCCCGGGCTAGAGGCCGAGGGAGAAGGTGCCCGAGTCGGTGGATTGCTTGTCCCGGGAGCAGGTCCCCAGCGCCCCGGGGGGACATGCTGAGGGGGTGGTGGGCACGCCGGCCTCTGACACCTGTGGGGCAGGGGACAGAGGCACTGGGTGAGTCACTGCAGCCGGGGGGGGCTGGTCGAGCCCCCAGAGGTGTCCCCATCCCCAGGGCACCCCTGCTCCGTGTCTGACCTCCTCGAACTTGCGGGCCTTGTAGTGCTCAGCGCCCTTGAGGAAGTTGAGCAGGATGATGTCGCACAGCACCGTGCCCTGGGAGCAGCAGTGTGTTGGGGTGAGGGGCCCCGCGCTGCAGAGCACCCCCATACCCTCACAGAGCCAGGCCGCTGTCACCCTGCAGCTGTGCTGTGTCCCCATGCCCCCTGGCCATGGGATTTCCCCCTTGTGCCCTGGGAGGTGTCACCACTGCGGGGCTGAGAACGACCCCAACTCACCACACCGATGGAGGTGAAAGCAGCCACCGTGTTGATGAGGGTGGGGACGATGCCGAACTTGCCGGCCTGGGGGAGCAGAGCCCTTGTTGGCCAGGGTCCCCAAGCCCCCCGTGACCCCACGAGCCCCCAGCCCCACACGTACGCTGCCATACACCAGGACATCGAAGCGGATCCCAAAGGCCTTGATGAGGGTGCGGCGCTCGGAGCCGTCAGGCCAGCGGTAGTACCTGGCGTGCCTGTGGTGATACGGGGACATGGGGACATGGTGACAGGAACTGTGCCAGGCAGCGCACACCCCTGTGCTCTGTGTGTACCTGAAGTTGTATCCAGGAGCGGGGGTCCGGGCCAGGCTGTCCAGGCGGGTGAAGGAGTAGCGGGGCAGGCAGCGCTCCCAGGCCCGGTCCAGGTCACACACCCACCCGATCTTGATCCCCAGCACCCCCCCCTGCCCCAGCCCCGCATCAGCACCACGGACACTGGCCCCATGGCGCCAAGTCCCCACAGCTTCACAGTCCTGCATCCCGTGGCCCTGCGCTCCATGTCCTATGAACCCACATCCCACATTCTCATCTCCCCAAGTTCCACATCCCCCTGCACCCCATATCTCCAGTCTCCATGTCTGTACTCCCCATGTCCCCATGTCACACATCCCAAACCCCATCCGCGTCCCAGTGTCAAGCCCCACATCATCACTCTGTCCCGTGTTCCTGTATCCCCATCTCCTGTTCCCAACATCCCTCATCCCTGCATCCCATGTCCCCATGTTATGCAAGCCCATGTCCCCATCTTCCATGTCCACATCCCACCACCCCATATCCCCCCATCCATGTCCCATGTCCCCATGTCTCACATCCCATGTCTCTGTGTCCCCAAGTCCCATGTCCCTATGCCCTTCCACCCCACGCACTTGTACCCCTGTGTTCCCACACCCATGCCATTGTCCCCCCGTGCCTCCCGTGTCCCCTGTGTCCCCGCTCACGGTGGCAGCCAGCGCAGGGAAGTCCTGCCCAGCCAGACGTGCCACGTCCCCCAGGCGCAGGATGGGGCACAGAGGCTGCAGCTGTGGGTGGAAGCGACACCGGCCCAGCTCCACCCCACTGCCAGGGGGTGGCAGGTTGGTCCTGGGGACACAGGGGGACACGGGGGACACGGAGGGATGTGCCATCAGGCAGCAGTCTGGGGTTCATGGACCCCCATCCTAGTATCTCCTCATCATCTTGTCGCCGTGTCCCCTGTCCATGTCCCCGTGTTACCCCACACCCTGTCCTCATGTCCCCCTGTGTCCCCCCGTGGCTTGTGCCACTCACTTCTCGAAGCCAAAGAGCGGGAAGCGGATGCTGTTCTTGATGAGGAGGGTGAAGTTCTCGGCTTCCAGCATGACGGGGCTGGAGGAAGGGGGGTGACACTGAGGACATGGCAAGGGGCATGTCCCCTGCTCCTCCCTGTGTCACCCCAGCCCCACTTACACGTCAATGGTGTCCACCTCGGGCGGGCACCAGCCCTGGATCTCGCAGGTGCGCAGGGTCGCGTTGTAGGGGACGCAGCGCCCTGTCAGCACCCCTGGGACCCCCAACCCTGTCAGCACCCATGGGACCTCGGCCCCTGAACTGTCAGCACCCTGGGACCCCTCTACTCCCGTCAGTACCCCTCGGGGGCATCTCTGAGACCCCGGACCCCCATAGGCACCCCTGGGACCCCCGGACCACTGTCAGCACCTCTGCCAGCAGCCCTGAGACCCCAGACCCCCTTCAGCACCCTTGGGACCCCCGTACCACTGTCAGACCGCCGGTAGCACCCCTGAGACCCCAGATCTCTGTCAGCACCCCGGGGATCCCCATACCTCTGTCAGTACCCTCGGGATCATCCCTGAGACCCCACACCCCTGTAGGCACCCCTGGGACTCCAGGACGGCTGCCAGTACCCTCAGGAATACCCCTGAGACCCCAGACCCCCATCAGCACCCCGGGGACCCCTGGACTGCTGTCAGTACCCTCGGGATCATCCCTGTGACCCCACGCCCCTTTAGGCACCCCGGGGATCACCATACTCCCTTTGGCACCCCTGGGACCCTGAACCCCCCGCTCCCCCAAACCTCCAGCTCCAAAG